GATGTTGCCATGGATTGTCAAATCGATGCGTTCTCCATTCTTCGTAATCATGAAAGGCATTTGACCAGATGGCCATACAAAGGAATATCCTTCTTCCATGCATCGTTTCCCAAGAGACATCACGGACGGAGTGTCGTCCAGTACATAGGCATGAGAGGTCACATCAAAGGTTCCCAGGTCAATCTCTGCTTCTGTCTGAGTAGCAGTTGAACCGTTGGCTGTGTGGAACATGATAGGATCACAAGTTCGCTGCTTCAAGTTCATCCTTTCGGCTTTCCTTGCAGAAATCAGATCATGCCCGCTGCCAGAATCCAGGATGAATCTACGATCTTTGGCTTGCACTGGTAGTGAAATGCACATTATGTTCTTGGACTTCATGAGGGAGTTTCCAACTTCGTGTTCAACAAGCTCTTCAATAAAAGTCAAGTCATCACGATCATTGTCCAGTTTGATCAACATGTCGAACTTGGGGCCAATAATGATTCTAACTTCATCAACAAAACGATGGAGTCCACATCTGTCCATGATGATAGCCTTGGCCCGTGCTCGGACTGAACCGAGGGTGTTGTCGGACTTGGACTGATCGTCGGTCAAATCATCGACTTTCCAGAAAACATATTGCTTGTTGGGGTCACGATACATACGTTTGGGTAGTCCCTCCTGGTAGTCCTCAATGGCGATCTCGTGCACCTCAGGTTCCAGATCAAATGAGATCCTGCGATCATCAGAAGACTTCTTTGCGCTGGCTATCCTCGGTGAGGTATAATCCATGGAATCTTCATTGTCGCTATCAAAGAAGGAATCAATGGTAATGGGAGTCGCCTTCTTCTTTGGTGTTTTCTTGCTGGTTCTCTCGGAGGATGCTGAAGGCGATTTATCTGCATGTAGGAATTTACATTTGTTTCCGAACTTGCAGGTACCTTCTTGCCAATTCCAACATACCTTCTTTTTGGGTCCAGCTGAAGATGAACTTCCTCTACCTTTCCCTCTTGATGAATCTCGACTTCCGCTTCTGCCTTTCTTACCTTTCATCTTGGCATCATAGACCTTCTGAGAATGACTGTAAAGACATTTGTCACCTTTGTTGCATCCTCCCTTATTGAAGAAGTAGTTACAGAATATCTTCTTCTTGTCAACGGGTGAAGATGATCTTCCCTTCCCACCTTTGCCTTTCTTGTTGTTCTTGTCGGCATGGGATTTCGGAGAAGGTGTAGGAAGTACCGATGCAGCTTCACTCTTCGCTTTCGCCTTAGGACGTTTGGGAGGATCACCTGTAGACGATGCAGCCGCTTCATTCTCCTTCTTGGTCTTGACGGGAGCGGCAGGCTTGTCTGCATCTTCTAAGGCAGGTGTCGTCTTGTTAGAGGACAATGACAGTTTCACTGCACGTTCTCTATCTTTCAACAGTCGTTCTTGCTTCCCTCGTGCTATGTATCCCTTTATCATACCAGTTAGGTAAGCATAGGTCTTCTCAGGATGCCCTTCATCAAAGGTTTTGTATCGGTTGATATCGAAGGCCATAAGTTTTGAATGTTCAATCTTCCGGAACAACGTGTCACGCAGGGAATTGTTGGAAGGCAGATCATCATGTTTCATATTGTATACGATGTCAAGCCACTTGTTGTAGAAGGCCTCAAGTTGGTCATCTCCATAGTAGTTGAACATATACAAATGATGGGCATTGTAGAGAACTTCAGTGTGGTCAGGTGACTTGAAGCTAATCAATATCATTGCAAATAGTTCTCGTCCCTTGATGAAGTCCCCACTTCTCCCATACAATTGGTTCTTCATGGACATGTCATACTTCACTTGCATGGACTTGTCCCCAGCATTGTCAATGACTTTCCTCAAGGCATTGGAGAGCTTGGCATCAATGGATTGGAATCTCACATCAGGAGCTTTGGCCAGCGCCTCCAAGTCAGGTTGATCTGCAAGACACGGAGCTAACCACGCCTTCCAATCTTCATAGTTTCGATCTCCACTTGCAACGCAAACTTCATGAACGACACTTCCCTTCCAGGATGAAAGTTCAGTGGTCTTAGGCCAGGGTTGGAGGCTGATCTTTTCGGCTTCTCTTAGAGATACAGATGACTTGGATCTATCCCTTTCAAGGTTCTCCAACTCCTTGACATTTGTGTTGTACTCGTTCCTGAGCTTCTCGAAGGCTTCAGCTTCTGCTCGGTATTCCTGCTCTTCATCATTGGCACGATCTTCAGCTTGAGAGAAATTGTTCTTATAGTAATCTTTACGATCTTCCATCTTCTTCAACTCATCTTGAAGATTTCGAACTTCAGCGTTCCTCTCTTGCTTCATCTCGTCCAACTCTGCTTTCAGTTTGGCACACTTCTCTTCACATTCATTCCGAGGCATGGCATTACTGGGGTACCCATGTAATGTAGTCGGTCTATTCATTGATGAAGAAGAATGAGCTTGGTTTTCCAACTTCAGGGCAGCAATGGTGCTCGACATTTCTTCTACCTCAGCGTAACGCTCATTGGCCAATTGATGCATCTCGGTCAAATGGCTTTCAGGAATGGAATAGTCAGTCGCACCTTTGATCACGAGTCTTCTGTCGTTCAACATCTTGATGGACTTACCTGCATCCCTGTGAGCACGCTCAAGAGAGTCCTTTTGGGCTTCAAGTTCAGTATGAAGGCGAGCAATAGCTGTGTCCCTGTCATTGATTTCATTGTGCAAACTGTCGAACAAGTTGCTCGTCACATTCGGATTGTTGCTCATGTGATCGATCTTGTTCAGAGCATCTTGATATTTCTTACCAGTTTCATCAAAGTTTCGCTGGAAGACTTTGAGCAGGTCCTCAGTGTCAATGAGTTCAGTTCTATTTTGCAAGTACAACTTGTCAACTTCAGCTTTGGATTCCTTCAAACTGTCACGCTCCCGCACGGCTTGCAAATACATCTCATATAGAGGTCCTCCATGCGGTGATCTGCTTGGTGAAGATCTTCTGGCTTGTTGACAGGAAAGTTCATGATACTGATTCTTCGATTCAGTCAGTTGCTGTTGCATTCGATCTAAAAGACTTTGTTTCATGTGTAGTTCAGAACGTAGTCCCATGATCCTCATGTCCCGCATGCCGCCTGATTCAGCTAGAGATTCTTCAGAAACCCTGTTCTCAGAAATCGCTAGTCGAGATTGTAAGTTCTCACTGTGGATCACCTGTAATCGAAACTGTGATTCTTCCAAAGCTAAGTGATGTTCACATTCTGCATAACGGTCATGTTCAGATCTTATGTTACTACGGAACTCCTTCATGATCTCGTCCCTCTTCATGTCAGCAGCATCTAACTCAGTTTCCAGTCGCCTGACATTCATGGCCATGGTGTGCGTCATCGTCTGGTTCTGATTGGCAACCTCGAGCATCTCGATCTGCAAAGCACATGTTTGGTCATTAGCATAGCCGACTGCTAGAGCTTCTTGCTTGGCATTCATCTCTGCGTTTTCCAGTTCCAGTCTGAGTTGATTGATGTGAGCATTCGCGTCAGTTCCCACATGTACCATAATTGCGTTTGCTTGTCCCATTTGTTCATCGAATTCCGAACGTAGTCGTGAATATTTGAATTCCAAATGAGATGCAGCTTCATTCGACATAGTCTGATACCTTTCCAACTCTTCGATCCTGTAGGTCGCACCTTCATCTTCCTGTTGTGCAGCCTGTAACTCGAAGTTCAGCATCTGGAGTTGTTCGGTCATCGACATCATCTCTTGATGAGTGGTGCTTTCCAGGAAATTAAATTGTTGGTAGGCATATGCTGTCGTCTCGCTCAATCTTGCCTGAAGTACGGATTCTTCTTCAGTGGCCCTCTCCAGTGATGTCTTGTATTCTGCTAACTCACTCTGATAGGCAGTGAAGATGTCGCTACCACTTGACGGGGCATTCACTTGCTGATAAGATCCTGTCCCTGATGGAGTAGCGTCCTGAATCGGTGAAGGCGGATTCGACGACGTAGTCTTTGCCTTAGTCCTTGGAGTCATCGGAGGCGACAATTGTCGTGCAGATGATCTTCTCTTTCCAGGTGTGCTGTCCCTATCTTCAATTGCTTGCATTGTCGAAATTTGTCTCCCTCTAGGAGCAACCAGATGTCGCCTGGGTTGGCTTGTTCTCAATTCTGAGGCATCGCTTCCACCAGTGTCGATACTCTGTGAAGAATTTGACTGCGTGCCGGCAGCTGGTGCGACGGCATGTCCAGAGAAAGAAAATGCGTTATCGCTGCTATCCTGTTCAGTCATCTGTAAGGCCCGCGGCTACCCGCTCGTAGGCTCCGTAGGAGTCCTACGGCTGATAACCTGCGAATCGTAGGTTGTCTCCCCGATTATGTTCTGGTACTTGATTCTGAAATGGGTGTTTCAGTGGTGACGTCACACGGGTAGCGGCTTCGGCATTGCAATTCTTTGTTCCGGTTCCTGCAGTGGTCTTGAGCCAAAGGGGCGAGTTGATGTACCCCTTGGCTGTGGATCTTTGAGGGCTGAATTATGTGGTAGTGTACAATGGTCCGTAGCCTACACTCTATTCGCATATGTGTATATACGTATATAATGTATATGTATATAAATATATATATATATACATGTATATATATATGTATATATATGTATAATATATATATGTATGTATAAATATATATATATGTATAAATATATATATGTATAAATATATATATATATAAATATATATATGTATAAATATATATATATATATATATATAAATATGTATATAAATATGTGTATATATATATATATATTTGGGTATAGCCAAGAATATAAAACTGGCCTTCCCAGATATGAACCACTAGAAAACTGGTATATCAATAACTCTATAACTGGTATATCATGGTATATCATGGTATATCATGGTATATCATGGTATATCATGGTATATCATGGTATATCATGGTATATCATGGTATATCATGGTATATCATGGTATATCTATATCTGTTTATTAGTTCTTAACCACTTTGACGCGTGGGATTTTCTGCTCCTCGCACTGCAGTTGATGGCTGGCCAAATCGCCCTCATGGCCGGTCCAAGTGCAACCTGAAACAGGGACATAACGTGAGCAAAACGTGGAATAGGAACAACTGCTTTAAAATTGGAAAAAACTCATAAAGATACCATGAAATCATCATGACCTCCATTTCATAGATGTACTTTATCCATCTTCGACCCCCAAAAAACACTCCAAAAACATGGGCAAAGATGATGTTCTCATGACCCCCAACCGGATGAGCTGTTTGGGCTCCAAATCATCGCCTGCATAGGGACAGCGCACGTTGAGTCTCGAGGACAAACGCAACTGCAGCTGCGCAGGTTGCCAGCCGTGCGAGGGAAAGTGACTCCTGGTCCATGAACGGATCGGATTTATTCAACGAAACGGGGGTATAGCCATGAACGAAACGGATAGAATGGAACAGAATGGGGCTTTTTCTTGGGATCGGATATGCCAAAGAATATGGGGACATATGAAGGTTTGTTCAAAAATAGATGGGAGACCTCCATGTTTGGCAATTCTACTTGGGGAAAATGATGATCCCAGCTGACACCTCCTCCTGATGAATTCACGTGAAAACCCACTTGAACAATGCATGTACGGAGTTAGGTGTAGGCACGTCGTCTGAACTATGTCTGGGTCCAACGCATAACATTGAGTCCCAATTTGGTCTCAGCTAAGGTCTTCAGGTCTTCAGTGGTTCCAAGTTTGACACAAAACCTTACAAAACCGCATAAAACAATAGCTAGTCACGATATGGAATGATTATATATATATATCATATCTATCATATCTATCATATCTATTGTATATTATCCATCCATTGTATATACCTATAATATACACATCGATTTACAGTACCCAGTCGTCACACCCAGGCGATTCTTCGATGTCTCCTGGCACCCCCCAGCGACAAATAGCATCGGCCGCTGCCCGGCAGCACCAAGGCCTTGGACGAAAAATTGCTTCCCCGCCCCAAAGGCGATGTCTTGAACTGGGGAAACACATGGATAGATTTTCCATAAATGATCCATAAATGATCCATAAATGATCCATAGTTGATCCATAGTTGATCCATAAATGATCCATAAATGATCCATATTTGATCCATAAATGATCCATAAATGATCCATAAATGATCCATATTTGATCCATAAATGATCCATAAATGATCCATAAATGATCCATAAATGATCCATAAATGATCCATAAATGATCCATAAATGATCCATAAATGATCCATAAATGATCCAAAAATGATCCATAAATGATCCATAAATGATCCATAAATGATCCATAAATGATCCATAAATGATCCATATTTGATCCATAAATGATCCATAAATGATCCATAAATGATCCATAAATGATCCATAAATGATCCATAAATGATCCATAAATGATCCATAAATGATCCATAAATGATCCATAAATGATCCATAAATGATCCAT